AGATTTGCTTTTAAGTTTTACGTGCTTTTTATGAGCTTTATAGTGTCAGCAGAATAAGGTGTGCAAGTCATTTTAGATTTATTTAAATCGGATTCAAAGTCACGTATATATATTTCACTTAAGAAGTTATTACTGTTAACAAGCTTACAGTTGTAACACTCCATTATAATGCAGTAGTTCCTCGAATTTATTTAAAAATATTAATAATTTTAAAAAAGTGATTTCGTTAAGATTATCGTTTTTCCTGTTTATCATTTTAGTTCAAAACTATCTACATTAACTATTGTCTACTTAATGATTTACTTATAGCAATCCGTTAAATTCTAATTTTTTTTTGGCAAAAAACAGCATCGGTGCTAGTAAACGACCTTACTATCTCGAATGACTATGTACAATTGCTGACTTGGATATACTTAGCTTAAAATATTATGCTAAAAGTAAAATTAAAAAAAGAATTTACTTTAAAATTTCTAATAACAAAGTAAAGTAAACACGATTTTTGCCATGTCTCGTTTTATTTGTTACTTAAGTAATCTTTTCATAAGTTGCGATACGTTAGTAAACAATTTATGCGCTTTAGAAATTTTCAAATTCAGGAAATTAAAGTTTTTGTAATTTACGTAGTTCTGCTTCCAAAGACCTAATTTTTTCTTTTGGGCTTTAATTTCTGCTCTCAAACAACGCCGAGTAAATTCTTCTTCTTGCGCAATTAGACTTTGACCGTTATTATTACGACTATTACCGTTAATATTATTATTATCAATACTAATACTATAACTGTTAACTTTATTGGTAGTATAGTGGTTTTCCTTATTAAATTCGTTGTAACACGCGACCCCAAGACCCAACGCAATCAGTTCGACGTTGACAATTTTTCTAATAATAAAGTACTAATTTATACATAAATAAAAAAAAAGTACAAAAAGTGAAAATAAATTAAATTGTTAATTTTTTTTTATAAATATTTCTTTTAACAATAAACATAAGTAAATATTATTAAAAAAAATTAAAAATATAATAAATAAATAGTAATAATGATAATAAAAATAATATTAAATTTAATATTATTAAAATAAAATATATTTAAGTAGTTATTTTTCTATAATTAAGTATTTTTATTAACAATATAAATAAATTAACATTGTTAATATAAAAAATAGTTGATTTACTATTAACTTTAATTTCATCTTAAAAAGTTGTGTGATATATGTTTTAAAAAAAAACCTTCTTATACATAAGTTTAATCAACACTGTGTCGTTCTCAAAAACGCTTTTCTTAATAATCTGAGCCTCAAAAATCCGATTAATTAAATACTTTTGTGCATATTCACGAAATAAATTTTCATCTAATTGAACACCGTAAAGTTTGCAATCTATTAAGTCTTTTAAAGTGCAAATTTATATTAATTAGACTTAAAATTTAAAATTTATTAAAGTTATCTAGCCTTGAAAGCTTTCCTCCTCTTTTCTGAAAAGTTTTTTATATTTTACTATTAAACGACAAAGTAGCAAATTACTCCAAGGATAATGTTTTAAAAAAACTTTAGTATCAGAAACTTTTTTAACTTCTCCTATTATAAACTTTCTACTGCTATACCACTCCAAGGGTATGTCTAAAGCGGTTTTAAAACTTTGCCTCTGGCAAAAAGGTTTTTTAATAACAATAATGAATAAAGTAATTAGAATGTCGCAAGTTTATAGACCTTAAAAAGATCGTAAATGATAAGTGACACTCCAGTTGTGACTAAAAGTGTAGAAATGTTTCTAATAATAAGTAAATTGTGATCAATAAACTCTGTAAATTCTTGAATCCTTTCTTTCATGGCAGTTCTATTGATAATATTTAAACAATATTGCATAAATATCTTATTAGTAACGAATTGAAAGGTAAATTTATAAGTAAACTATAAATATTATAAAAGCTTATTCTTCTAAAAATATCAATACGTTAAGACTATTAAAGTTATGTTAGCAATAAAAAATTATATTAAACACTAAATTATTAAACTTTTAGTAGTTTAAAAAAACAAAAATTGAAGATAGTTGTAAAAAAACTAAGTATGATACATATTTATAAAAATTCAAAATTGATTTTAGATAATAATTAAAGTGCATATATAATAGTAAATAGAAAAGACAGAAAGTTTTTTTTTACTATATGCTATAGATCTGGAAGCAAAAATTAATATTTTATACTAGAAAGAAAATACAAATAATCATCTTTTAAGAGAAAATATAGAAAGTTATATATTATAATTACTTTTATAATTACTTTGCTAATGTTATGTATTTCCAACGTTACGTGCTCCCCAAGAGTTATTAAAACTATTACTCCTTTCTTTATTCCACGTAAAGCATTAATAAAGAATAAATGACACAAAAAATATATACAATATAAATAATTATAAACTACTGATCTAATAAACACTTAATGCAATAATGAATAACTAACAACTTAAAATACTAAAAATGCTACAACCAAGAAATAAGCAAGAAGCTAATTGGATAAAAATATCAAGGAATACACACTTGAAAAATTTACCTTTACTAAAGCATTGGTTTGGATTAAAAAAACATTTCATGTCTACTCTGATAGATTAGCCTTAAGCTCCATTACGAACGTAAGTGTTAAATTATGAGGATTTCATAAATGTGTTATATTTTTGTTACCTCAAAAGTAGAGTTCACTTAGAAAATTGGAAAGCGGTTATCAAGGTATTGAGTTCTATTACTTCGCTTTAACTGAGACAAAATAAGCTACAACGCGTTATGACGCGCCGTGGTTTGTGCGAATCTATATTTTACTCAAGGTTCTTCAATTGCAAGCATTACCTATGAATGTCTTACTAAGTATACTAATCGATTACTAACAGAAAAGCTGAGTTAAGGTCATCGCGCGAATTTTCTCTTAACGATCCTTTTTGTAAACAATATTCATAATTTGAATCTTAAAAATATATGCAAAACAAATTTCTAGCTTGAAAGGCTTTTTATAAATTTTGAGAGTAGCAAGTGAATCTGAGGCAGATAATATTAACTTCATAGTAATAAGCTAAAAATATTGTAAAGCAGCCACAGAGGAAAAAAACCTTAAATTTATTGTATACTTTTAAGTTGGTTAAATTCAAGCTTACAAAGTTTTCACCCACAGTTTTTGTCAAGTCTAATAATATAAGTTATAATATTTATCCAAGTAAGATTTTTAAAATTTAGAATCAGTGTAAAATGACTGACAAAAAGCCATAAGTATTAGGCCTTGTAAAATTAACAGAGCTACGAATAAATGATTACTTCTAAGAAGCTGACACAACAATAATAGTGTATGCAAACTATAGTATCACAGATAAATACTGGTAAATTTTTATGTAAGCATATAAGCTTTTTTTAACATTTTACTAGTGATATCGTCTCACTAAACAAACTTAATTTCTTTATATTAAACACGCCTTCTCTTTCAGAGGATTTACACCTGAATCAAACTCCGTCATTAATAATTTACTTTAATAAAAACTTTTAAACTTAATATTTAGCGCTAGTAAGCTATTTATATTATGCATCTTTATGCTTTCCATCACATTGAAGTGTGTTTAACTCGAAACAAAAGCCGAGTTGCGTGAATGAAGCACTAGTCGTTTAGCTTGATACGAGTGGTGCCCATAAAACCGCTACCCTCTCATTGTTAGAGGTTAAATGCTAATATAAATTTTGTCAATCAAGAGTATTAGTTGAAGCTTGACCCTTATAGTATAAATAAAAAACCGATAAAAAAAAGATAGCGATTATTCCAATACGAACAATAATTAGATTGTTTATGCTAAAAGCCTTAAAAATGATACTAGAATAAAGTGTTGATAAAGAAATTTATTATGTTTAGACAGTAATTATTGTGTTTATTTAATTTAATAACCTAAAAAATTCGCTGACGACAATTTTATTGCAGTATCAAAAAAGCTATCTCAAATTTCCAGAGCTTTATCTTCTATATAAGAGTTAATTTTAATGTATTTAATATTTAAGCTCAGTTAATAATTGTCAGCTTGGGGATAGACCAAAATTTTTTTATCAAATATTACAAACGCCCACTTTTGCTAAATTCATAAAGACTAGTACCAACACCATAATAGCTGCATACTACCCAAAAGTAAAACTGTTTTATTATATTAAATACTTTGAATTTATTTCCATCGTTAAATATTTAAGAGAAAGAATGACAAAATTAAGAGTTTTCACTGCCATTTGGATGGTAACGCCGACAAACTCTGTAGTTTTCGGCGATGCGTTAATTGCGGTGAAAATAATGATTTTGCAAGGTAAACACCCTTCTAATTATTGAGTTTGCTTTTATTATCCTAAAATGAACCTTAGAAAAAACCTAAGGAATTCCGGCCAGTAACTTTAAACACAGGGCAATGTGGTTACACCAAACAAAACTAACGCTCAAAGGACATCAACTATTACCAATCTTCTAAATTACAATCTTTAGAAAGTTATAACCTCTTAATAGTAGATACTTTTTACTTGTAAATATTATAGTAAAACTTATTGTTTGCCTTGACACCCGTAAGACGGCTAGTTCACTTTTGAATATAATAATAATAAAAATTTAGTGTTGTCAATAAAGTATATTAAAACTTTCTATGAGGCGCAACTCATACTGCGTTGCGTAAGATTTCCCCCCATAAAGATTTAAACGGAATTTAAAAGTATTCTTGAATAAAAAACTCCAATGTTGTAAGGATGAACTGCTTTTACGAAGATTTATTAGTTGTTATTATAGCAAAACATTAAATGCTCTCACTGCAATTGAATTTAGTATTACTATCCCAAAAAACTAATAAAAGAATAATATTTTAGAAATTATTTTAAAAGAATTTTACAAAAATTTGGTTAAGAAAATATTTACCAAAAAATTTTTCAGAATTTTTATTATAAATTTAAAGGTCAATTTTGTCGACCCTAAATTTTTTATAAAGTTCTTCGATTTTTACTTTGTTCAGCTTATTTTTATTCTTAACTGGTGAAGATTTCTTTTTATTGGAACTTTTAGTTTTCCGGAATTTTCTAGGCAGACGAAGAGCACGAGGTTCAATACCAAATCTATAAAACGTAAAACGATTTAATATTTATATTATAAAAAAATAAACTATAAATACTTGTATCTGTGAATCCACTCCAAAATGTATCGCCGGTTGGAAACGGATACATTTAAAACTTTATAAAATTAAAAAAAAGTTTTTTTAAAAAATCTTATAACAAAGAAACATAAAAGTTAAAATAAAATTTTCTTTTTCAGTGGCTTTTTCATTATAAGTCTTGAAAAATTAAAAATACATAGAATAAGAAATGTTTATAAGTATTTTAATATATTAAAGTTACTATATAATGTTCAAAAATTATATAAATAAGTAAAAAAAATATTCACATACAGAAAACTAAATTATTTCAAAAAGTATGAGTAGAAAAAGAAAGTAGAGGCTAAAAAATGCTTTTCTAATATTACACTTTAAAAGAAAAAAAACTTTTTTTGATTTGTAAACTATAAAAAGATTATGTTTCTTAATAAAAAATTTACTTGTGTTAATAACCAAAAACTTATAATAAGGAAAGATACGAAGTAACATTTTAATTAATAAAAAAAGTAAATGTAAAGATATGTAGAACTTTTGAGTGATTCTCTCGTCGATAACATTAATTCATCCCAATTTTTAAACAAAGGTATTGTAGTTTCAGCTCCTCTAGCAATATTCTTTAAAAACTTCTCAACTGTCATACCGGCTTTTTATATAAAAATTTTCATAATAAATAAGATTATTATAAGAAATAATTAAAAATAAGGTGAAAAATTAAATAAGTTGTAACGGCATTACACCTCGAGGAATAGGAACTTTTCCTTTATAAGTAAGTTTACTCAAAAGATCATTTAAAACTGGTGTAGTACAATCGTTCCATAAGTGAGAAGTACTATGACATATTAAACAACGCGTTGGAGGTCCTTCAAAAGCTTTGAAATCATATACCTTCTTAGTGGAATTAAGTTTTTCTGAGAGTTTAATAAGAGCGCTACGCGTGATAAAACCAGATGGAAGTGATTCAGAAGGTTCAACTTTTAACTCCTTATTATCTGTTTGTGAAGAACTAAGCCTCCTCGATATAAAGTAATATAACTTTGTACTGTTTGAGTGTCTTACAAAGAAAGTCCTAACAGTTATCATCAAAACTTAAATTCTGTGATGCTGTTTTTTAAATCCTCGAGTTTTGTAAAAAGTGATTGAGGGCACTTGAAGCACTCAAACTACTAAACAAGCGTTCCACAAAGTTTTACAAGTATTTTAAACTAAATACCTGTTTATATATATTATACATATGTTTAATAAAATAAGTTAAATAATAATTTATTAATACTACATATTGCCTTAAGTTAAGGAAAAGTGGGTATTTGAGAAAACAAGTGTTTCATTATCAACTTTATACTTGCACTGCGATTGTGGTTAAATTGCTTTTTACTAAAATTTTAGCTGGGGGCTTTGGCTATTTATGTTTCCTTTAATAGCGAAGCTTGAAAAAGGGGTTTAATTATATATCGCAATGTAATTAATAAAATAATTTATAGATTTATTTTCTGCTTTTTCAAAAATTCTATAGGCAAACATTTACTCGGTAATAATAAATATGAAAATATTTAACGTTGTGTTACTGCATATCTAAATACAAGTGCAAGCTTATATGTGTCACAGGGAGTACAATAATTTATTGTAAGCTGATATCGTTGCGAATTACTAAAAAAATAATAGTACAAACTGGAGTATCTTTATAAAAATAAACTTTAAAAAAAAAAGGCTTGTGGCTTTGTTTTCATATCTTAGAAAGAAAGTCGTACTTGTATATAAATTACCTTGGTAACGCTTAGAACTAAATCTCATCATACTTATATATTCCTCTGCCAACTACACCTCTTTTATTGTATGAAAACTTATAAATATGTTACATATCGGAAGCCACTAACTTCTTTTTTTTAAGTAGTTTTTTCTTTAACTTAAATCGTTTTGTAGTACATTATGATTATATGAAAGAATAATAATATTAGAGTAAAGATGTGTTAGATTTCACTTTCGCCTTTTAAACCTTTTACATATACAAGGAAATACGATAACTATTTTAACTTTAAAGAAGAATTGAAGACAGATTTATGTAGCTCTATAAAACTTTTAGTCAAGGCTAAACAAAGAGAAATACCATTTCTGCTAGCAGAGATTAAAAATAATTTCCTACTTTAACAAAGTTACCCAAGTAAATATTTGCATAATTGGATAACTTTTAATATTTTTATATTTGATAGCCCGGAAGTACTTTTACGTCTGTGTTTTATGTATTAAATGCACTTAAATATAGCTCGATCGCATAACTCGTGAAAAAAAAAAAGTGGTAGCTTTAAACCTTTTTGCAACAGCTATAATTTCTGCGCTACAAGCGCTTCTTAGCGACTTCAATTGTATAGGTCACCAAAAGACCTTTTTTGAACCGCAGTAAATTTTTTATGTAATAAAAAAACCTTCAAGGTCTATCTATAATGTTTTTACAGCAGATCTTGAGAAACAGAGGTGATGTGCTAGTGTATAACAATTTATTGTTTAGGTGAAGATACTAAAAGCCGCCGAGAAGGCGAAGTCTAGATGGTTGTGAAAAAAGGTCACTGCCTTCTAATTTTCTTACGTTCAGAAGTATACATAACTCTCTTAAGTGACTGTTAACGTTGTCTCTAGAATAACTTAACAAGACTAATTTCCGAATTCCTTTAAAATAGTTAATTGCATGTCCTGATAGAGAACATTTAAAAAAATAAAGGGCTTCTCGCCGTTTTAGTATAAAAGAGCCAATTGTCTACCCACACTAGGCTTTTCCTTTCTCAAAATATCAACAAGAATCTTTGCTATTAAGGAAGAAAGTGCTGTGCTTACAAAAACGGTTAACAGAGATCCATCTTATGAATTGTCTAGATTTTTTTCTTGTTTTTTAACTTCTCAGTGCAAATCTGTCCAGCAAGAGAGAATGCAGTCACTGCTTTACCTTTTTAAAGACGCTTCTTGGATAACCATTAGCAAAAAGTAAAACAGGAAACGTTAAAATCAGGTAGAGATCGTGCAAACCTTACTTAGAGAATTAGCTTATATGTTATAAACTGCTAGAGAGCTCAATATTATAAAATGATAAGAGCCCAGAGAGTGATAAGGTATACTCAGATAGGCTTCAAGTTTGGTCTTAGCTAGTAGCTTCCAAGCAACGTAGATTACAAATCTCCTTTTTTGCCTTGCGTGTACTCCTGACTTGCAAATCTTTCAGAAAAATGTAGACCAACTTCTGCTTGTCAACACCAAATTTTTTTGAAATAACAAAATACCTATTTGTAAGTGCATGTGTAAAGTATACACAACAGCCATTTTAAAAATTTCTTGAAGGCCTAACAAATGAAGATGCCTCCCGTTCATCAAAAACATTTGAATCTAAAAACCTTTTCAGCTGGTCTATGTATATTAAACTAAACATTATCTATATACGTACACAACTATTATGGCTCTATTGAAAAGGTTTCAACACGGGTTATTACTAAAAGATTAAAATATGCATATAAAATTTTTATAGTGTCAATAAAGGAGCCGCAGCTGGCTCTTAGCAAAGTTCGAAAGCTCCAACCTATGTATAACTCTATTGCATTGTAGCTGCTAACCTAAAGAAAATTAGGAAAAACGGTTTTTAAATCATTATTAATGAACGAACAAGTAACAACAGCTCGGTTGAAAATTAAAAAATAATTTATAAATTAAAACGTCAAAAGCGTAATTAAAGTACCAACTAAAGAACAAAATATAATAACCTTTTATATGTACCAAAAAAATAACATAAACTATAATAAATTCTAGCGTTGATTATAATATTTAAGTTTATTATAACTTTCTTGCATAAAACTAAATAACTACAATAACAGATAGATGATGAGGGCAAAAAGTTAAATCTAAAATTAAATTTTATTAAAGGAAACTATATCCACAGATTGAACATAATCTTCTAAGTCTTTAATAGATTCTTCCAAAGCATCCACGGACACTTTTTCGTCTTCGATCACACATTGGATTTGTAATTTCTTAATGCCATATCCTATAGGCTCAAGTTTACAAGTTCCCCAAACAAGACCATCCATCTTAATCTCACGAACTATATTTTCTAATTCTTCTAAATTTGTTTCTGAATCATAAGGTTTAATGTCAAAAAGAATTGAGGATTTTGCAATTACTGCTGGCTTCGTCTTTTTTTTAGCGTAATACTCTTCCAGTCTCTAATAAAAAAAACTTTTTATACTAAAAATAATAAACTATAAAAACACTTTTTTGCCTGTTTTTGCAACTTGACTTTTTCTAAATCTTCTTCCTCGTCTGACTTGAACAGATCATCTTCGCATAACACCTCACCCTCAGTCATGTTTAACAAAAAAGTCACGCTACAACTCGCCGAAGTAAAGCGTATATACACCATGCTTATCAATTTCAATCTTGCTACTGTAGCAATTAATAAAAAATTTGATACAATTTATTTTTATTTTACAGCGTGACGAGCACGTTTTTCTCATGGTGGTCTGCTAGATTTTGTCTTTTAAAGTACATTAATGTAAAGTATACGTTCTGAAGACTAAATATCATTAAAAAAAAATTCTGTAGTTTTTTATGGAAGTTACGTGTTTAGATAGTAAGAATGTATTATGAATAACAGAAATAAAAAGTTTGATTATATGTAATGTAACATTACAATATTTGCTAACGAAATGAGGTTTTTTATTCTGGGCTCTTATATGCCTGAGTAAAGCGAATTTTTTGTCTAGATCACATACATTTTATGTTTTCAATTTTTTACTTTTTTATTAATTTATTAATAACTTAAGCTACTCTTTTTTCTGTCCTATTTTTTATAATATATATTTTCTTTATAATGCTTTGTGGTATTGAATTGAACTCTTAAAAGAGAATTGCGAGTGTGAAGATGCCTCAAGTAGTTTTAATATATTTTTTTTTATAGTTTTTATACTATAATGTTTAAGTAGCTTTAGACTACTCGTTTGAATTTTTTTTTACAAAGTTGTGTCTATAATTTATTTAACACAATCCTATAAGTTTAAATTAGTGGTGCAAAACTTATCAATTATAAATTTTGAGTTGGGTTAGGCGTTGTAATTTTTTAAAATAACCATTCTCTTTAGGTAGATCGTTTATTTCAGATTACTTAAATGACAAGTACTAGAATATAGACTTTATATTTATCCGCTTATATAACTTTTGTAATTAACTTTTTTTATTTGTTTTTTTATATAAACCTGCAGTCATTTTATTTGACTTTTAAAGTTATAATTACACGAGCCTAAGTAAAACTAAGGAGTTGGAATAATATACGATGCTTGCAATTTTTTTGTAGCCTTAAGACTTTTAGCTCATTTCCTTTGTTTTATAGAAGCAGCAGCCGATGATACACACTTTCTTAGTTTTAATTACTTTGGAGATACCAGGGCTATTTAGTAGAAGCCACTTTTTTAATTTAAGGAAATTGATGGGGTTCTATTTAATAAATTAAAGAGTATAAAACCCAAGCAAGACCAAAAAAAATAGTTAACTTTCTATTAAGCTCACTAAAGTATAAAATTTAAGACTGAGTCATTTGATATTTTACTCACTTTGTTCGAAACTTACAAATCAAGTTTTTATCCGAATGACACCGGAAATTTGTAGGACGTTAGCTTTATAGAGAATTATAAAGGTAGAGTCGGGTTGTAATATACTGCTACAAATTTTTTCGTAAACTTTGTGAGTAGCGAGCTACGTTAGCCTTCTTAGACTTTGCTTTGAAACTACACAAAGCAGCATCCCTTGTATTTCAATAAGTGGCCAAAAGATTAAAACAACTTTAATTTATTAAGTCCTCCTTTTAAAACTTAAAAAAGTTTGAATATTTTTTGTACTTGTCCTTTTTTCGACCATCAGGTAGTAGCTTAACTACTGGCGTAAGATCAGCTTCGCGTCCATGGACGACAGGGCCATCGTCGCGAAAACACACCAGAGAGAATGTCGTATTAAGCCGGTAGTTAATACTTCATTGCATCGTACCGATCAAGT